GATCACAAAGAACAAAGCTTGACCCAAAGTCACATGTCCATGATCACAAAAGAACAAAGCTCGATTCAAAGTCCTGAAAATATCTCCTCTTTGGTATTCCAACAACACCCAGAAATTGTATAAGTGTTGCTTTCCAGAAACAAAGGTCTATAACCCTATGGATGTCACCTTTGTTGAAGATCAATCCTTCTTTCCCCATATATCTATTCAGGGGAAAAATTGAGAGAATATTAGTTACGGGAAATTCTTCAGGATCACCAATCCATATATACCCAACCGAATCCTTCTCCAGAAAACACTACCCTGTCATCATCTACCCAACCAGATGCTACTCAAGAAAACACCACTCCTTCATTGCCTGTCCAATCAGAATCCCCTCCAGAAAATACTACTACTTCGGCCAGTATGTCTACAACAGATTCGAACACCACTCAATGAGCCCAAATTCAAACACGTCCCAATCCAGTGAACAAAGAATTTTAGGTTTACAAAAGAAGAAAAGTTGGAAATATAGAGACCAATATGCAAGGCCAGAACTGTTCAAAATCTCATCCGATCCCTTTTAACCTTGAAGATCATAAAGGTACGAATTCAATGATTCATGAGTTGGATTCTTCATCTGTTGATGATCTTGACTTACCCAATGCTCATTGAAAGGGTACTGGAACTTGCACAAGTCATCCTATAGAAAGGTAAGTTTCTTACAAGAAACTTACACCAACTTTCTGAGCATTTATCTCTTCTCTTGATTCGGTTCAGGTACCCACAAACATCGATGAGGCCATGAAACATCCCAAATGGAAAATGCCAATATAAGAGGAAATCAATGCTTTTGAGAAAAATTGCACATGGATCCTCACAGAATTACCACAAGGAAAGCATATTGTTGGATGCAAATGGATCTTTACCATCAAGTATAACTCAGATGGGAGTATTAATAAATACAAGGCTTGGTTGATAGCCAAGGCATTCACTCAGTCATATGGCATCGACTATCAGGAAAGATCTGATCCTGTCTCCACACTTAACACTATAAGAGGTCTAATATCTCCTAATATCAATTGTGATTGCGCTTACACCAGTTGGATGTAAAGAATGCATTCTTGAACAGGGAACTGGAAGAAGAAGTCTATATTGACATGCCACCAAGAATGAAGAAAGCTTCAAGTAGCCAAATTGTTTGCAGACTGATCAAGTCACTATACAGCTTAAAGCAGTCACCTCGGGCATGGTTTGATACTATGATAGATTTGCAAAATCGATTGTCAAACGTGGACACACTCTAACTCAAGCTGATGTACTTTGTTCTTAAAGTTTTTTTCAACACGAAAGTCAACAATGCTCATTGTCTATGTGGATGACATAATCCTAAATGAAGACGACTTTGAAGCAATATCAAAACTAAAAACACTTCTTGCATCAGAGTTTGAAATCAAAGATTTAGGACCTCTCAAATACTTTTTGGGAATGGAGGTAGCCCGATCCAAAGATGGAATTGTCATATCTCAATGAAAGTATAAACTAGATCTTTTGAAAGAAACTGGAATGCTTGGGAGCAAGCCTATAGATACTCCAGTGGTCCAAACTTTAAAGTAAATCGAAGTGGTGAATCGACTCCAGTAAAAAGGGGTAGTTATCAAAGATTAGTAGGCATGTGGATAAGAAGGCTATTGAATGTCTTAAGGGCAAAATGTCACAAGTCAATCAAAATGTACACCATCAGGAAGTTGCTATAGAGATTGCCAAGAATCCGGTCCATCATGATAGGACCAAACATGTTGAAGTAGACCGACCTTTCATTTTTGAAAAGGTGAACTCAAAAGTCATTCAACTCAACTTCATCCCTACAAAAAGGAAGATTGATGACATCCTAACAAAGGTACTTCCTAGAACAAGCTTCGAAGAATTCAATTCCTAGTTAGGTTTGCGCAACATCTATAACTCAGCTTGAGGGGGAGTGTTGAAATCTCAATTTATTTGTACAATATTTTCCAGAGATTCTGTATCTTTTCCTCAGGATTTTTGTTATTCTCTAGGATTCCTTTGATTGTGTTTCCTCGTTGTAGTCGATTTAGGTTTTTTCCTTTTATTGTATAAATACCTCTGCTATATTCTATTTCAATATACAAAAAATTCCAGCCCTCAATTTCTATACTTGTATAATGGACAGACAGTAGATCCTGAATTTATAATTTTTGTAAAATTTTTCATGAGAGAGGGGAGTGACGAGATTGTTTACTTATCGTTTATGTTATGGAATTTAAGAAAATCTATGAGGACTTAAAGATTCTTCTTCCACCAAGTGTTTGTGAAAGTTATCCAAACCCAAAAGGAACCGGTAGCCATGATAAGTTTCCGAGACCAAAATTTGGGGCTTTCAGTCCTTAGATTTCAATTTTTAGATGAATCTACTATTCTTTCCCATCAGAATACCGTTACTGGAGTCTACTAGGGAAAGCTCTACTATTTTGGTTCATGGTTTTCTTTGCAACGTCGATTTTCTCGAGTTTTGTTTCTGAGACAATGTTGAAATCATTCAAGCTATTGGACTTGCTATTGTTTCATCAATTTATTGTAGTATGCAAGTTTGGCAGCTGGTGAATGCATAATAAGGACCTTCAGTCTCCTCAGCTCCCGTTTCACAAGAGTGCTCTCTTTTATTACGAGGATTTCGTGAGTCTATGGTGGTCATGTGGTAGTCATCGAGGTGTTTCTTTGGAAAGCCATAGTGACGTGATAATCGACTATGGTCAAGACTTTGATGATGTTGTGTGCTTTTATTGTCATGAGTTAGGGCATACCAAATGCACTTGTGAGATTTTCTTAGCTAAGAAGCAAAAGGGTCCATTTGCTCATGTTCACGTAGCCTTTGCTTTCGAGAACGCTTTCACTGTCTCTGCTAATGAGCATGCTTGACTTACAACTCGAAACCCTCTACTCCGACCAGCAATTGCTTTTGTTGCAATAGGTAATTCAGCTAAATGTGTTTTATCTTCTGCTTCCAAGTGGAGCGTTGGTTTTAGTGCTTTAGACCACACAACAGTTACCTCATCATTCATTTTAATCTCCATACCTGTGCATCCTCATTTGAGATCACATTGGCCTATGGTTTACCCCTTGAGTTCTTGGATTTGACACAATAAATCATCTCTTTTTTTATCTTATTATCTTTTGTGGTAAAGCTACCTAAAGTTTCAGCTAATTTGTTGCGTGTCACTAAAATTATCTGCAATTTTTATTGTCTCGATTTTCCTTGATCATTGTGCTTTTAGGATCTCCTGGAAAGCGAATCCTTGGTAAAGGATGGGAATATGTTATGCCTTTACATACTTAAGCCTCAAGCATGGAGATCCTTAATGTGTTCCATGTCATCATCGTCTCTATTTGAGGTGCATTGTCGTGTAGGTCCATCTCTACGAAATCTGAAGAAGCTTTTGTCCCTAATTTTCTCATTTGTTGTCTTTACATGATTACATCAGCAGTCTTGTCAATTTGTCAAACACCATCCTCTTCATTTTGTCCTAGAATAGAAAGAAGGTTGCATCCTCATTTGAGTTAGTTCGTTATGATATTTGGGTTCCTGTCTTTATTTCATTACTTCTGTTGGTAACTACTCTTCTATTACTTGAGCTTTGTATAATGGAAAATCATTCTGAAGTGTGTTGAAGGAAAAACACACTTTAGTGTTTGCTTTCAGGCTTTTCACAGTGTTTGATGCAAAAGAATATAGTTTTGAGTATTTTAGTCTTATATGCTTCAAAATGACATCCTTCAGAAGTCATCCCATGTGGACACACCCAAATTAAGGTTGCTAAACGAAGAAGTCGTCACCTCTTCGAGGTTGCGTGAGCACTTTTATTTACAATGATATTCGAAAATCATGTCGGGTGGATGTTGTCTTATAAGCGTTGCCCTCGCTAGTTTTCAGTGAGGATGTCCCATTTTTAATCTTTTTCCTTGCGAAACATGCATCTCTTGTTGAGCCTTAGATATGTAGCGTATCTATTCTGTCCGAGATGCTAGACCTCATATCAGTAAGTTGGATCGAATCTCTCTCAAATATGTTTTCCATTGTTATCTTGGCCTCCAAAAAGGATATATATATATATATATATATGCTTCTCTCCTGCACTTCACCATTTTGTTATTTGAAGCAACATCACCTTCCAGGAAAATATTCCTAGGATGATGATTTGTTAATTGATACTTTGTCTTGACTCCTCTGCAAGTTCTTTTACCCCTCTTGTACCTATTCCCAAGTAGTTTTGGGAGTCGGAGTCTAGCTACCTATTGTTCAAGCATAACGTAGGAGACATTGTCCTACTGATCCTTTACCTCTTTTTTCGTTGGCAGACTCGCCTATTGCTCCTCTTACACAACGTCCTAACCTCCGTATTGCCCTTCAAAAAAGCAAATGTACTCGCACTTATCCTTTGCTTCTTTGTTTCTTATAATCGCTTGTCTACCTATTCTTGTTCCTTTGTTGCCAAAATAAAATCTCTATCCGTTCCAAAAACTATTGCTTAAGCATTGGCCCATTCTGGGTGGCTTGCTGCTATGGTTGATGAAATGAATGCTCTTGATAATAATGGTACTTGGACATTGGTAGATTTAACTGCTAGTAAATGGGTGCTCATAGTTAAGTTTAAGCCAAATCTCTTTGTGGCGGCTCAGCTTAAAGCTTGTCTCGTTGCGAAGGTTAGGCACTCACGCTAAAAGCCCGTATTGGTTAGATTTGTAACAAGTAGGCTCCAACTTGATGGGGAGTGTTACAGAACTAAAGTCCACAATTACAGAATGTAAATATTGAAAATAAGTTGGAGATCTTCGTGATCGATTTGGAGAATATTTCTCCCATCTCTTGTATATATGCATTCCCATGTAAATGGTTATCGAAATTACTCTCTAATAACAATATTATTAGCCTCCCTTATTAAGTTATTACTAATGTGCAACTAATCTTTTGATTATTTTCTTTCTTCTACATGCTTACTTTTTAGGGGAATAAGTGCATATTAATCAATTGGCCGATGACGCAAACCATTGTGGTATTCAGAAGCATGACAGACCTTATTTACGCCATGCACATGTTAGTTCAGGTAAACTGCTTACCCACCTCTTTTTACAGTAGCTTTTGCGGTTTTTGTTATGATATATTACCGCCGCTCCTAAAAAAGAGCTGTATCTTTTCTTATATATCGAACCTGGTAGTCTCATACTTTACAAATGAACTAGTTTAAATTTTTTGACAAAGGTTAGGCAACTTAATTATCCTTTTATAACATGTATTACATAAAGAAAAATGATGGTATTGTGCATGAAAATTCATGTGAGTTCTACATTGAGAAGTACTTAATTAGTAAAGTTTAAGATGTGATGGCTGGCATAAGATTGCAAGGGGTTTTTAGGATTTGCTCAAAGAGCGAAGATTTTTGGGATAAAAGGCCACCTAGGTTGGGTGTGATTTTATCCAGTACACACACAATTGTAGGAAATCAAGCATGTCGCCTGTCGGTTTCTTTTCTATAATTTGTAATCTGATTATCACGAAATATTCTCCTATTATCTATGCATTGTTTTGTACATTTATAACGCAAATAGATAGAACATACGAGCTAGTTATGGTAGTGATTTCGAGTCCTTGTATATATATGTATTTCTGTTGATTAATGAATAACGTAAATTCTCATGGTATCAGAGCTAACCTTAGCCACACCCTTGCTACAATTCATCCCCATCAGCGCTGCATCACAGAACCCTTTTGCAACCTGATCAACTCATCAATGTTCAACCAAGGTCAAAGTGGGCATAAAATTGAACCTCCCAATGATCATAAGCTTTAACACCCAAATGGTTCTTAATTCATCATCATGATGAATCACAAAGTAATAAAGAAACAATATAATAAAGCAATAAAAATAGGACACGATGCCAAGATTTATATGGAAACTCTAAACAATGTAAACCCATGGATGAAGGCCACCGAGAGAAGTCCACTAATTACTAATAAATGATGAGGTTACAGCGCAAATCCAAGAAGAAACAATTGAGAAATAGTGCTTGAGTTACATGAGCTTCAATGGGGGTTTTGGGAATATTTTTGTATGAATGTTCAAGGAGATAACCAACAAAGAACCTAGAAAAGGCATCGGGGATTCAGTCGCCGGCTCCCTGGGGCATATCACCCAAATCATTGGTCTGGTATTAGATGTAGCTTTTCAATTCTGACCGGTAATAAATACCGGGACTTCGAAATAGAAATACCTAAAAATAACCCAAATACTAAGAAATTGGTGTTCTTCGACTCATTGTTACTCTAGATGGTGACTATGTCGTATTATGATATGTATAGTAATGGGGGAACTCTGGTAAAGGGTTGAGATACTGTTGGTCAACCAATTAATGTTGCCGGCTCCTTGTCATCAGGTCACCAACTTCCTTGACCTTCCGGCACTGGGCAGGCGTCAGCCCCTCAAGAAATGGCAGATTTATTCACTCTATCGCCTAACATAGCTTGAGATAATTGAGTATGCCATCTCAGAACAAGGAAACACCACTTCAATTAAAAACCTGCTTGATTTAGATCAGGAAATCATGTGGTCCGATCCAGTCCCTCCACCATCGCGGCCCCTCAAGAAATGGCAGATTTACTCACTCTATCGCCTAACATAGCTAGGTTAAGATAATTGAGCATGCCATTTCAGAACAAGGAAACACCACTTCAATTAAAAACCTGCTTGATTTAGATCAGGAAATCGTGTGGTTCGATCCAGTCCCTCCACCATCGCAAACCCCAGTTAGATTCAGGCATGCTACACTTTTTAGTTATTGGGAGAACCCATGTGAAAAATCCTTTTCTCGAAGTAATAAAAGCTGAAGGAAAGAGACAAACAATTGGGAAATAAAACCTGTCAGGTGAGGGATGCGAAGGCGACTTTAGGTTGCATGATGTAGCTTGCCAGGTTCCATTGATTGCTTCATGCGAGTTGTCGTAGCTCGCAAGATAGGTTGCATAGATGTAAGCTAGTGCAACTCGGCATGCCCAAGTCGCATGCTTCCACAGTAAGCAGATTTGGAGACACATTCAACAATACATGTACAATGGGAAGAATATTTGATCAAAGCATATATGGAGTTTGTTTAGACTGAAGGCCTTGGGAGATGAGCATACTCATACATTAGGGGAAAAAAACTAGCGGATGTTTATGAGGCTATGGGGTATGATGCTTGTTGGAGATATCAGTGTGATGCGGGAATGGCAGAAAGATTGATGTATGAGTATGCTGCGTATTGAAAACACAAACATACTCATATGCTGGAAAAGGAAAAGGGTATCACTTATACTGTTCATCATAATAGGAATCTAATGATAGAAAATACTCCCTCCATCCCGAAATAAGTGTCCATATTTCTATTTAAGTTTGTCCTAAAATAAGTGTTCACTTTCAAAATATGGTAGTTGTAATTTACTAAATTTCTAATTCTACCGTTAATTATATGACCACAAATATTGAAGAGTTGATGAGATGGAAAGAGAAAAAGAGATAACGGGTGCCTCTATCATTAAGGGTAAAATTGTGATTCAGTCAATTAATAATTATACGGTTCTAAAACTATGTGCTTATTATCGTGGACATTTATTACAGGACAGAGGGAGTAACCGAATCTTTTTTTTTTCTTTTTGTAACATGGAAGTTGAGCCCAATATGCAATTTGCTGTCATGTTGTCTTTGACATCCATACTTGATGTAGATAGGGAAAAATCAAGGTGAATGTTCATTGTTATAGAACCTTGGGGAGCTGGTGCTTATATCTACTACCACAAAAGGATACTGGCACTTAGTAACATTTGTTTACTTGTCTTGTTGTTTTTAGGAGGATTTCTATAGAATATTGAGACTTCAAGCTTATGGGAAATATCTATGATGAGCCTATATTATAATAAATGATTTATTTTGTGTTTGTGCTATTTGCCTGCATATCCACAGGCCACCAATCTTAGTTCCAGTGCAATATAATACTCCCACAGTCCCAAAATAAGTGTCACACATTTCTATTTAAATTTGTGCAAAATAAGTGTCTACTGTAAAATATAGATGGTTATAATTTACTAAATTTCCTATTGTACCCTTAATTATGACGCACAAATATTTAAGAGTTGATGAGATGGAGAAAATCATTAAGGCTAAAATTGTGATCCAGTTAATTAAAGAAGTGCAATAATTATACATTTCTAAAACTATGTTTTTTTTATTGTGGACATTTATTTTGATATGGAGGGAGTAACGTTTATATGGTGTCATGTACCTGAGAGTAATTGTTGCATGTAATATTTTATTTGCAGTTCAGGTTAGCATTCGTTTCTCCGGAATCAAGAGTTGTGGGTGCTGGAGACTTGGTTGACCATCCTAAAAAAGTTGCCTTACATTATCTTTCTGGATTTTTTTTCTTCGACCTGTTAATTGTATTACCACTTCCTCAGGTAAAAAATCTCTTTCAAGCTTAATAGTATTTCGTATTGTCATCTTTTCTGCATACCTCCCAACTTAATTACTTATCCATGCAGATAATTGTATTGTGTATCCTACCAAATGCCATTGCATCATCGGGAGCTAATTATGCAAAGAATCTTTTGCGATCATGTGTTCTTGTTCAGTACGTTCCCAGGTTATACCGGTTTCTGTCTCTTCTTGCTGGCCAATCTCCAAGTGGCTTCCTATTTGAGTCGGCATGGGCGAACTTTATCATCAATCTTCTGACTTTTGTCTTGTCTGGTCATGTTGTTGGGTCATGCTGGTATCTCCTCGGGTTACAGGTGTGTGAGAATCATGATTTGGTCACTTTTTACCCATGTGTGGTAACCATCAGCTCATCTTATTTTTTGAGCTTATCTAGAAGCTCCTTCTGGTAAGCCATAAGCTACCTTTTCAAATAACTACTTAAGTTTGCTTTTCGATAAGCTCTAGGGGATCTTTTCACTTTCTTTTTTCCAATTATGCCTCTTATATTTTAGAATTGAGTAATTTGTCAACATGTCCTTTTACGTCATTTTACATTGTCATCCAGCTTATCAGCCAACAACTAGCTTATCAGCTAGTTTCCCAAACATAGCCTTTAAGCAAGCTTGCATCGGAAAATTATAGATAATGTGAATTCGTTATTTACCATAAAACAGGGTTAGATGCTGACTGTAGAATTCGATCAAGGGAATCAAGATTTGAAGATTGCTGATTATATATATTTGTGCTTTCCTTTCATCCATGCTGTCATTCATGTGATTTATAGTCTTTACAACTTTGTATTCTATTCTTACTCTTTTTTCTTAATTCTTTCAAGAGAGTGAACCAATGCCTTCGAGATGCTTGTCATAACTCTGGAATCAAACATTGCATGAAGTTTCTAGATTGTGGGCATGGGAATGTTGGGAGATATGCAGCGGATCCGGCATGGAAAGTTTGGAAAGAAGATGAAAATTCCAGTGCTTGTTTTAACGAAGATGGTTTCCCTTATGGAATTTACGTGAAAGCTGTCAAACTCACCGCTGAACCTAGTGTAATCACAAGATATGTTTACTCCTTTTTTTGGGGGTTTCAGGTACTAAATTTTTGGGGCTTGTGTTCTAAAGATGAAGTACTTTTAATTTTCAAGTTGTTCCACTAAAATATTCAAACACGGTGTACTCACCATATTAAAATCCTTCAGACAATAGGAGGAATGCATGTCTCATCTATTTCAATAATTTCCAACAAGAAGATGAAAATCTCTTCAATAGTTTTACCCTTCAACACCTTAACAAAATGGGGTGGCCGAAAGGAAGAACATCACATTCATGATATTGTTCCTCCCTTCTATTAGAGTCAGTTGTGCCCTTTAGGTCTTGTGCCCTTTAGGTTTTGGTATGAAGCTCTTGTTCCTACCATGTCTCTCATTTCATTTGATTATTGTGTCACATACCAAGTTATTCTGATCTTCATACCCTTGGTTATGTGTGTGATGTTCATCTCCTTACACATGACTGGACAAAACTCACAACTCAATCTACTGAATGTGTTTTTCTATGATATTCGGTCCACCAGAGTGCTTGGTATGATCTTGAAGTCCGTCTTGTTCGGGATTTTGGAAATGTGATCTTATTAGAGCATTCATATTTCTTTTGCACTTGCAAAGAACAAAAGTATTTTAAATGGTATAGGAAAAGTTCTCTGTATATTCCTTGAACCAAAGATGGTACATATTTATAGCTCACAAACATAATAAAGTTCAATCCTACGTAAGGAAATGATATACAATTATACAAGGAGTCATACAATCAAACGTTAAGAGATTTGATTTCTCTCAAATCAAATATCATCATGACTATACTTGTTAACATGATTTCTCTTGTTCCTATTAGATCTTTGTTACTAACGTGGAAGGTAATAATAGAGTTACTTCTGATCCTTTTCATTTCTTGATGATTGTGAGAAGCAAATCAGCACACTGGCTGGCAATCAAACTCCAAGTTATTTTGTGTGGGAGGTCCTTTTTACTATGGGCATCATTGGGCTTGGACTTCTACTTTTTGCCCTTCTTATCGGAAACATGCAAAACTTTCTTCAAGGTCTCGGACGCAGGTAGATCTTTTACTATGACGACTATTGTGCTTATAACCCCTTATTCATCCACAATATTTATCAATAGTTCTTCAATATACATGATCCAAGGAACTCACATATTTGATATTATATTAGACGGCTTGAAATGTCACTTAGACGACGTGATGTTGAGCACTGGATGAGCCACCGACACTTGCCAGAAGAACTACGAAGGTATAGTCCTCCTGCCTCGTTATATTTCCTCATCTTCAGTAGTTAATCACTTATTTGCACTATTCCCTTTCATGGCAAAAACTTCAAGTTTAACCTTAACCTTAACTTCATATCTTATATTGCTCCATGTTGTTCGCTTTCGGATATTTAATCTTAATCCAAATGTTGGTAAGGGGTTTAATTATGAGATGATTCTCATTTGTTTGTGATATGCAATGATTTTCTAATCTTTTTTTCTTGGATGCTACAGCTTTTTTAATGTATATGTATGCTTAGACATTATTGTTTGTAAGAAGTAGTGCAAAACAACATCAAACTCGTTTTCATCTGCTGTCTACTAAAGTGAATGATCTTGAAGTAGTATTGTTTTAGTAATAATGAATCCTTAGTGTGCTACATGATAAACAATAATGATGGTAAGTTTCTTCTTTCTGATTGTGTTTTGCGTTAGTTTAGTTTTGATGTCTATTGGCTCAAAATGTGACTATTTAGTGACTTGGATATGCAGAAAAGTTCGCGAGTCTGAGCGTTATAATTGGGCTGCCACCCGAGGGGTTAATGAAGAAAGGCTAATGGAGAATTTGCCTGAAGACGTGCAAAGAGACATACGCCGGCACCTTTTTGAGTTTGTGAAGAAAGTGAGCTTCAAATTTATTGGCTATCAAGTAGTTAAGACTAGGGATTCGACATCAGGGTAATACAATTTATATGGTGGATTGGTCTTGAGTTGGTAATCTAGAGTGTTAACATGGTATTAGAGCACATTACTACACACATGCAGGCCCAACGGCTCAGTGCATGCATGGTCAGGGCCCGGACCTTCCAACCCTGGCTTTAGTAAGAAAAAGAAATCCCGGGACTTCAAAAACAGAGACGGGGCTTTGGGTGCGAAAATGGGCCCATTCGGGCTTTTCCAGGGACTTTTAGGTTTTTTCAGGCCAGTCTTAATCGGGCCTTGAAAAAAAAAATACTTGGCCTTATCATGCTTTTTAGCTTGGCCTGGGCTTGAGCTCAGGCTTACAAGTCCGGGGCTTCTTTGGGCCCCGCTTTGAGCCGGGGCCATTTGATGCATCTCTAGTCAACATCAACTATTTGTCCACTCAATCCTTGAGGGGCCGGATACATGTGAGGAATCGTGTGAGGGGGCCTAAGTGCCATTCACTTAAGAGAAAATTTAACGGTGTTAGTCGGAGGGACTCGGGCCATAACAAAGTGCAAACCACCAGGACTCACAGTTTAATAAATGAAGCTTTGGAACCCTAGTCATAATTTTCAACAAGCCACAGGGACCAAATCTGTAATTTACTCAAGTATATTACAATTCCTCAAGTAAATTACAACCCTAGTCATTGTGGTGTTAATGTTGTTATGGATAGCCTAATTTCGTATATGTTTGCTCCATTCAACCCCCTGCGTGCACCACAAGAGTGCACTTTTGTCATTTTACCCTTTCTTTTATAATTATTTATTGTACAAGTTTGCAACCCATATGTACAAGTGTCTAAAGCATTTAAAAAAACTAAATTGAACCCCGCCTTAATCCGGCCTCTAAAGTATTTATTTTCTTATAACAGCTATGTTTTGAAATTTACATGAAAATGGAGCTTTATTAACCCTCCCCCTTTGTTCCCGCTTGATGATGGTGCGTGTTATTCCTTCCATCTCAAATAACGTTTTCAAGAGGATACCGGCTCTTAGCACTTTGTAAGAACCTCGAATACCAAGTTAAACTGTTATCAAGGAAATGCAATAATTTAGCAAGAGTATGTTTGTTATTTTGCATTCAGTAAGTTCTAGCTCTAAGATAAAAATTGTTAAGAGCATCTGTCTTTTTCAATTTCTAATGGAGGTGGTATACAGGCAGTGGCCAAAAGCTCTCCTTGAGTCTCTTTGAGGATATGGTTAACAAGGTCCATATTTTCTGAAAATTATCTACAGGTCATTAAACTATGTCTCTATGTTTCAATTTGTAGGTCCGGATATTTGCGCTGATGGATGAACCAATTTTAGATGCAATATGTGAACGGTTAAGGCAAAAGACATACATCAAAGGAGGCAAAACTTTATATCAAGGAGGGGTTGTGACGAAGATGGTTTTTATTGTAAGAGGGAAGATGGAGAGCATGGGAGAAGATGGGAGTAAAGTTCCACTAGTGGAGGGCGATGTATGTGGTGAAGAACTTCTCAGATGGTGCCTTGAAGATTCTTCTGTTAATGGAGGTATAAGAATGTTTTCTGATCACTTTTTACATGCTGTGTGGCTGAATTTGAACATGCTTGGATTTTTGCATTTTTATCATAACCATCTTTCTAACGTTGAATTGAATTCCATAATACTGTATGCATATCTTTCTGACATTGAATTGATTCCCATAATTATATTTGCATATCTTTCTTACCGCATGTGTTCCCTGTTATATTTTGTTTTGCAAGTTGGGGGTCTTCACGGCAAAAGCCCCTCTACCGGGTACAGGCTGGGAAAAAATCACTTGTTACCCCTTCCCTGTTCCTCCAATCAAATTTGACATCTGTAAAGGTATGGGGCCAATACGTAAGTGTAAGGGGTGGTTATGTACAAGTAGGGGGTGCATATATAAATTAAATGGCAGTGGAGAGAGAAAAAGATGATGTGTCAACATCTTATTGGAGGAACATTGAGGGAGTAACAGGGAGATTTTTCTCTGTAGAGGCAAGGTCTGCATACATCATCCCCCCTCCACCCGGGGGAGGGGACCTTATGTGGGATATAGTGGGCTTGTTTGGTTTGGTAACCATAAGCTGAGGGGCTGTTTGGCAGTTGCTGAATGGTTTAGTGCAGAATAGTTAAGAGGTCAAAATGGTTAAGAGGGTCAGAATGATTAAGTACTGAATGAAATAATGTTGTTTGGTAATTGTTCTCTRAATAATAGTAAATTACCATTTTAACCCTTATCCAACAAAAACCCATCTCCCTTCGGCTTCCATTAATCCAACCCTATAATCATCTAACCATCTCCCACGCCATCGACGACCCCAGCCAAGTGAAGGCAGAAGGTAAACGGCCAGCCAAGTGAAGAAGAAGGTGGCGACGGCGATGGTGAAGGCAGATGAGTAGCGAGGGGCTGTGCGACCGGCGACGAGAGGGTGG